ATCCAACCCAATCGGTTTTGGTTCTCCGAACCCCTGATTTGATTTGAACGTTTTCCGTAAGGTTTTCCAGCTTTACTTGTGTCTATTTCACTGAATTGGAATATCATTTCTTTTGTTTTTTCCTTTCACTTAGTCGTTATGAAGTCTCAGAAATGATTTTAATAAATTTTCTTGCGTTAATGCTAAAACATGCCAGTTTTATTTATATTACATTTTCTGAATCTGGATCATTTAACTGTAGTCCTGAGTGAAATGAACCACCGCTTGTCTACTACAAACTTTCTTTTAGCGAGGAGCGTATGTGGCACACTGTGATCATACAGCCATTTTAATGCCATGCTCAAAAGATTGACTTCCCCATCTTTTAAGTCTGACAGGCAACAGTCGTGAGCTTGCATGTAACAGAATTCTAATCACCCTTGAGTTGTTTTGTCACTCCTCAGATGATTGACGTTTAGCCAGCCGAATAATTAATTCTAGTTTTTTTACATTTAATAATTCGTTCTTTTAATTCTTTCGTTCGTTTGTTCTTTTATCCACTGACTAATAGATCAGTTTCTTTGCTTAATTCACAGCATCATTCGTGTCTCCATTCTGTCTTTCAATCACCCATTTATTTGTGCGTTCCTTCTGTCCTTCACTAATTCCTTCAGTCATTCACCCATTTCTTCATTAAGTCTTTCACTCGTTCATTCTTTCCGTCGCTCACCCATTTATTAGATACTTCATTTGTTCATAGTCCCCATGCCTTTCGGACAGCGGGGGAAGCTGCTTCAGAAGGGTACTGCCGATGTCGGTCCTCCCCAAATTGGACAGTCCGCACCATCATAGTTTCATGGCACGAAGATGGAAGGTATTTTATAGGGCCAAGTCATCCGATCCATCGTTCGCCTGTTACCTTTCTTCCATGTGGTTTTTTCAAGGTACCCTTAAAGACTGTTCCATAGCTGGTGAATTCTGTGTTCCATTGCTACACGAAGAACTAGACTGGGTGCAATTCAAAAAAAAACGAAAGACTACCTGTCTCACACGCCTTCGGTCACACGTCTTGTCACTCCACAGATGTTGAAAATTCTTTCGATAGAACTCTGCAGTATTCTGCATTCTGTTTATAATTGCTGCCACCGCTTCACTCTGATTCCCAGTGACTGATTTGTCGCTTTTATCACCCTGGTGCCCAAACGAACTTCATCTAATGACCCGGGCAACTTACAGCCTATTCTTACTTACTTGCTTACATTCTCAGAAACTGCGACGCCACGAACCAGCATTACTCCACAGTGCTCAGTGTGGATATAGTTTGCTTGTTCTTCTGGTGTTGTGACAATCGTGTAATGCTGTTCGTTGTTCCTGTTTTGTTTTGTTTTCCTCTTGCTTATTCTGCTGAAAAATGTTGTCCCTCTGTGATAGCATTGAAACATTAAAACTTCAACTTCATGCAGGTCCCTCCATCGGCACTTTGATAACAAATGACAAATTAATATTAGTTGTAGTACTTGTGATCTCTCGGTCAGGAGGATCAGTTTACAAATGCAGATTTCTCAGATCCATGTTTCGAAGCTGATCTAGCCATGTCACATAAGCCTTTTAAATTTTTTGAAAATTCTTTAGAATCTCAATTATTTCCTACGGCGCCAGGTAAATGCCGATGGTAGTGGATTATCTGAAGGAGCTCTTCACCCTTGAACTCTTCCACGACGTTGTCGCTTTGGTACGAGAGGCCGTCAGGTAAAATATTTTTTCTTTGAGACTGTAGCGATTTTTAGGGCTCCTTTGTTTCCACCATCTGCGAGAAAGATGAATCGTTTTTGAATGCTCGTCAAAAATACGAAGCTCTAGTTTATCAAGGACGAGCTCTGTACGCTTTGGGTCAGTACAAGATGGCGGAGACTGTACTCTCCGCAGCATTGGCTCTCTGCGCAACGTTCGAGAAGCGCTCAGACGAGGTGAACGATTCCGTTCTTCTTTTTTTGTATTTCGGTTGCTTCGAGGCCTCAGTTTCCTCTTTCCTTTACTTTTGCTTTTTTCATTGCTTCTTCGTTTCTTCATCACGAGCGTGCAATGCCTCTCATCTTGCATGACATGCTTTTCTGCATGCAGAACATGACCTTTGCGCCAATTATGAAACTGCCTAATATAGGTGCAGATATTAGTTTATTGATTATAGCTTAAGTATGATCATAAAGCGAAATATTAGCTGCGACAAATAAATAGACGCGGACAGACACTGATGAAACAACCAGGGCGTGGCTCGGTTCGAGTAGGGCAAGTTTGTCCGTTAGAAAAAAGTCACGGTGCCTAGTGATAGTCTTGTAACAAGATGAAAGCAACCCACCGTTTGCAAGAGAAAAGATCGCGAATGTCACAGCTGCATTCCAGTTCGATGTCGGCGTTTCAAAGGATGGGAGAGAAAACTTCGATTAAAAACTGGATGGAATTCTTATAGAACTCTTCTCTAGGAAATTCGCTAGGTGACCATCAGCTCTGTCGGTGGGTGGCAGAACTTCATGCGATATAACAACACAGAATGTTGCGGTCGACGCGATTTGTCACGGTATTCCACTCGGCCCAGTGATCCAGATTCATAAAGTGCCTATTTTTCAGTAATCGAAATAGATTATTAACATTATATCAACAGGACATTAGGGATAGCAGGCAAGTTCAGCACATCAGGTTGATCCCTGATGATTCAAGCGAGAAGCAGCTGAGCGACGTCAAAGATAACGGAGCAAAAAATAGCGAATTCAACGAAATCAAACCGAAGGAGATTACAGATTAAACGAGAACAACTGTCGCCTCTAGCACATTTGCGATCTCTGAAAAGCTGATACATGGAGGGAATAGCACCCACGTGTTTGTTTCTAATGGAGTGGCCGTTGGCAAGCATTGTAAGAGATAATAATGCAAAAGTGCATTGTTACTGACGACATAAATGGAGATATATGTACTTTTAGACGTTGCTTGATTAGCAGCATGGCGCATTAGTAAGTATATTATCCATTCTGGATACAATATCTCCAGCGATCGCCTTAAGAAAGAAAGATTATTCCTGAAGCATCAGCGTAAGGCGGCAGTGTTCATGAAAATATGCAATCTAAGTGCGTTCTAAAGATTCCATATCTTTATGTTCGGAGGGGGTTTACATAATCGGAGGCTCTCTGAAACTGTGAAGTTCAACATTGCATCATATATTTGTGCCCAATTGGATCAGAATGGCACGATTCCGAGATGTCTTATTTTGATGGAATGTATCAGATTGAGTAACTTCATTATGCAAGTTTTCTCTGACCAACTGTAGAAATCGTGATTTCTGTGTGTTTTTCATTATCAGTTTACATTCAGTGGTTTGTGACATTGGCAGTTAGTGCAAATGCATCTTTTAGAACATGTTTCCAAGCGCATCCGACCTTAAATGCGATTTTTTCTGTGCTTAAAATAACAACGATTTTACGATGACATCTTTATATAACTTGAAGACTGTGATTTTTATAGTTGGGCTTCTTCGCAGAGAGCGAAACGATCTATTACGTTCACTTGTCGTTAGTTAAACAGCAAAAATACATGGAAGCTATTGATATCCTTGAAGAAATTCCGAAAAAGCGGCGGAGCCCGAAAGTGAAATGCGCACTGGCATCTTTATACAAACGGTTCAACATGTCCAAACTTTCTGCAGAGTGCTACATGGATTTGATAGGTAGCATGTCCAAATATATTGCTTTTGTTGTAGAAAATGTTGCAAAATATTCTAGTAATGGTCTTTCTGTCACTGACAAATTTGTCTTGCAATCCTTAAGCTCATCCGTTACATCCGTGCCTCTACTTCTTCGTTAACGGTTCGCATTAACGTCTATGAAAGTCTTCCTGATTTTTGTACCGCTTGAATCTAATAGACCTAGTGGTGCATTATGCGTAGTTACATCTCTGCATACGTTGCAGTCTTTTGGCTGTTTTTCACCCTTCGGTTATTTTTTGGAAGTTCAGTCTTATACAGCAGAAATTTAATTGACTATGCACATGTTTACTGCATCTGTGCACGTTCGTTTTTCACACGATCAGATGAACTTCTTAAACTATACTTATTGTGTGAGAGAAATTTAAGTGAGTTTCGAATTACACTGCCCTGCTTTCTCTGAAATTTCCTACTGATAGGTCATCATGGATTAACCTTTTCACTCTATCTTTCAGTTACATCACATACAAGTACAGCATCTAATTTGATTTACGCAGTTCTAATCAAGTAATATTTTATAAAGCTCCAGTTATCAGGTGTCCTGTTAAATCTGATTAGTTTCATAAGTATCTATGACTTGAAGAACAAGCAGTTGAACAATTGAAACAGTACAGTAGCTGTAATTTGCTATAATTTTGATATTATTGTCAAAGTCAAAGATCGCTGAAATACTTTTGCGTCATTTTATTTCAGACAGTTAATTTTAGGCATTAGAGGCTGCCTAATTATCATCAACCAGGTATAGGGTTATGAGCAGTTTCAATATTTGCGTGGTTAACATCTTTCGCCAAAATGCCGTCCTCTGTCCAGAGCATCGATACTGTGTAGTATTGATCATTCATGTTTCAGTGTGTCTTTAGTGTATTTCCTCCACAGAGATTTACTCTACAAGGCCAGCAGGAAATTTTGACTCCCCTTGTATTCCGCATTATTGTTACGGTCGTTCTTTCATATGCTAAATGAATAATTACTGATTCTATCTGATTTTATTCGTAAGCAAGTTAATGTTTTAAGATCATCACATGGTTTAAATTAAGTATTTAGTATTTATATTAGGTCTGGTTATTCATCGCCGTCTGAACATCATCGTTATTATAGATTCCTGTCCATTCGCCATCGGTTCACTGCAAGATTTGCTCAGTATTGAAACGTCCGAGGAGTCGTTGCGTTCTCTGATCTCTCAAAACACTGTGCGGAACGCGAATCTGGTGGATGTTAGTGAAAGCCTCGGCGGCGAGTGGTTCAACATCTGGGTGAACGCGTTGGCTTTCACGTCTGTTCACAACTACGCCTCGGCACTGAATCTCTTACAGCAGCTCGATAAAAGGAGCGTCATTGCCGGTTCTCCGCCGTTGCTCTATCAACTGTCCGTTGTGTATTATAACATGGGTGAAACAACGCTTGCGACCACGGCCCTGCAACGTTTGCATGCCATCGAGCCACTGCAGTTGGCGGTAATTCTTCAAATGGGCTTTCTCATACTTAACAGTTGTCGTACAGTAGGCCTCGTTTATTGCTCTAGCTGAATCTTGACCCCATCTCGGTCAACTGCTGATTCTTGTCAGTGCATTAAGTAGCGTAGATACCAAATGTCCTCTTCTTTGTGAGTTTTGCAAGTTTAGTAGTTAGCCGCAGAAACCTGAAAGTGACTGATGCTTGAAGTCTTTGTAAATTAAATCGCCAGACGCACCTTCCTAAAAAAGTATTCCACTGACGATAAAATAGCACTTTTCCCTCTGACCCCAATCATGATTGGTCGATGAGGTGAAAACCACATGTGATCATCTGGTACGTGAAAGAGCATTTTGTTAATACATGAGTGGCGTAGGGTTTTCATTTCAACGCCTCCTGTTCGTAATATTAATTATACTTTAGTAGGTTAAGTCATATTGGCTCTGACAGTTCAGTGATACTACAACGAGTGAGTCCATAATAGCAGAGAAACATGTCAAAAGCGCTATATTCTGTTGGATTATGGTTGTTTATTGATACAGTGGTTGATAACATAACTTGTTTTCAGCTGTCATTGGTCTTTCCTGCATGTGCACTGCATCAGTGCTTTGCTTTTGAAGTATGTAATTTATGTTATTTAAGTCGTACGGCGTGACCTGTCCATCGTCTTTTCCTTTTTTTAAGTATGACAGTATTCAAATCTTTCATTTCTCTACATCTCTTTATGATTTTACGCTGAAGCTTCTTTCTCAACGAAATTCAGAAACTCAGAGCGTTCTTCTTTAGAGGGCAGTTATATTTGCCAACACATCCAGTCACTTTATTGTTGTAAGTTGAACCGTTCTTGAAAATCCTTCTATCTCATTGGCCTTAGTGGCTTCATATGCAATGAATTTTGTCCGCTTCGTCGGTATCATCGTGCTTGCCTTCATCTGGCGTTTTATCTAATGTGGTATCTTAGGGGATGGATACGTTGGCTTTATTGTTGCATTCTGTCGAGCGCTCGTTGGAATTGGAATCACTGGCGTCTGATTTGCTCGATGCGTCCCCTGACGCTCCCGAAACGTTGGTAGCCATGGGATATCTGTGTCTAAGTTTGAAACGGCCTGCCAGGGCGCTCTACTTCGCTCAACGAACGTGCGAAGTTACTAACCCCCCATGCGCCAGCAGTATGTTGCTCAAAGGGCAGGTGTTGATCGAAAGCGAAAAGTGGAATGAAGCCATCAGCGTGTTTCACCAAGCTCTGTTACTCAATCCATGCAGGTGAGGGTTTCTCGAGCATGTTTCCTCATTTGTCGACGGCTATTTGCTTGAACAGAAAAATAGATATACGCCGTAAATTTCGCGATGTTCTACAGCACATGACGAAGACATGTTGCTTGTATAAGTTGCCAAAATTATTATCCTAATTCTAGGCATAGGATGTCGTTTGCTTTTCTTGGTTCTGTATTTTACAGTAGTATTATATTCGTACATTCAGATTGAAGTTTCGTCCGCCAGCGTAGGAGCGCGTAATTTCTTCAGGCCCAAATCTTTTCACGGCGTATTGCAATCCGCACCATGCTTCCCCTTGTCTCGCAGCTTACTCAAATGCAACCGGGCTCAAGTGTTTGAGAACCTGCGGCATTAAATTCAATTCGTCATGTTTTTCGCTATGGCATCCTTTTGCCCATCGCGAACGACATTTAGCAAACTGCTACTCATCGTATCCTACCGCATAGTCGTCTAGGTATAGATGAATGCATAAGAGTTAGTTAGCGCATATCTTCCGTTGCTCAAGCAAATATACTTGATTGACTGACTGATTGATAAGTTCACTAAGACCTGAGATGCGTTCTTTTGGGTCATTCATCTTCTTTAGGACGGGTGATCTTTTGTTATTCCTGTGACGATATTTCCGGTTTATCTTATGTAGTGTTTCTCACAGTCGCAAGGTAACTTGTACATCCAGCCTAAAGATTTGTTATTATTAGAGTTAGTTAATAAAATATTAGGTTTATTAGCTTTTATGTATAACCTTGATATTGTATTTGGTGTTACATAGTCTTTGCAGTTTTAATGATACATTAGAATTTTTATGATAAGTTTATTATTCGAAATGTTAGTTCTTGGATTATCGGTATTGCAGGTAGGTTTAACATTGCTAATTCTGCGATTTATGGTATTAATGACAAATTAGCAGGATAATTATTTTTATCTCACAATTGTCTGTTTAATTTTTTTTGAGAAATTCATTACCACAGAGTTTAAGAGTTGTGTCTGTTTAAGCTATGGATATAAATTTTCCGTTATTTAAATGATAATACGAGATAAAGTTTAGATTTTATCAGCGTTTGTAGATTTACGATAAACTTCTTTCATACCATTGTCAAAATTAATTATTAAGACAGTAAGAAATGGTGAACTTCAGATATTTTACCTTTCAGTGGTTAGTTCTACATTTCGAGTGAAGTGGTTGTTGAATGGTTAAGCACTATTTTCATTTCCAGTAAGACAGGTGGCAAAAATTTCTTCAACAGATCCTTAAAAAAACTTTGCAAAGAAGTCAGGGTGGGTATTTCGAGGATTAATTTAGAAATAAAATTTCATTCCATGAACTTAGTTCCATTAAAATTTTGGCCGACGTCTGAGAAAGTGCGTTACCTAGGTTGTCCTTGTTGTTTGTTTGAACAACTTACCATCGAAGGAGAAATTGATTCTATTCTACTATGCAAAATCTCACTAAACATTATAATAGAATTAACCGAGAGGTGAATACGTTTCTTAAATGAGACATCAGCTAGAAGAAGTATGTTTTAATTGTATAATCAGCAGGAATGTTAGTGAATAAGTCCTTAACATCGTATCTGACTATAATGCTCCTGTCACACGGATTTAAACAGATAACTATTTCTCCTTCGATGGTAAGTTCTTCAAACAAGACAAAAAAGCCACCCATGAGCAACCCACGTTCTCCAATTTTTGCCAAACTTCTTATGGAACGTTTCGAAATTGTGGCCCACAATACCGACCCTGACTTGTTTCCAAAATTTTTAAAAAATATGATGATGGTGTTTTGCCATCTGCCCCATTAAAAATAAAATAATGTGCTAAACTTTCTCAGCAGCCTCTTCTTTGAATGTACAGAGCTAACCATCAAAAAGAAAATAATTCAGGTCTATCCTTTTTCGCTGTCTTAATAATTTTCTTAATTGCTATAAAACCGAAGTTTATCATAAGCCTATTATCACTGACAGATATCTAAATTTTGACTCATATAATCATTTAAATAACAAAAAATCTGTAATTATAGTTTTAATGGACAAAGCTATTAAACTCTTTAGTAATGAATTTCTCAATGATGAAATTAAACATATTAAGACAACCTTGTGTGATAAAATAATTAGCCTGCTAACTTTTTGTTGATGCCATAATTCGAAAAATTATTTGATTGCTTCAAATCTACGTGCAATACAGTTAAGCCAAACAGTAACGTTTCGAATAATTCTACCGTTTTATAAAATTTTTAGTGAAAAATTGCAGAGACTGTTTAACAGTAAATACAATGATTATGTAATATATGAAAGCTCCATGAAACTTAATATTTTTTAACCAACTCCGGTACAACTCTTTAGGTTTAATGTACAAATCATCTTGCGATTGTAGTAAATGCTACATGGCAGAAATCAGAAATAACGTCACTCAAAGAACTAAAGACCACCTGTCAAACTAGAGAAGATAGATGATCTCAGACGAATGCGAACGACATGCTGCAACAACGAATCGAGTAAGAAAACAAACCCTTTCTCCTAACAGAGTCAATGAACATTTTGAAAAAGCCTCGGAGATTGTGTAACACAAAAGCAAAAAATGGTCGTTCTATCAGTAGTTAGATTTGGCGGGCGTGTAATGAAGCTGACTGACCAGACGAATCAAAAATGCCCTATTTATCCAGTTCTGCAAAAACATCTTCTGGGAGAAAGTACACTGACTCTATGCGGATTCGGAGAGTTCTGTCGAGCCCTGGACTCAAAGACTACTTATCCAACAACATGGCCGTGGCCAAAAAAACGCGCTATCGGCTCTAGACGCCGCTGCAGCTGCGGAACACATAACCAGCTTCAGAAATCAGCGCGGAAAACCATGAAGAAGGCTTATGAGAGACGAACCGAAACGTCGATACTGGTTAATCACCCGATTGTGCTACTTATTCATTTTCTTTGTGTATAAATAAATCGTTTGTATGCATTTTCCAGTTTTCATATGTGTTGTGTTAATTATAACCAGCTCACAGGAGTACGTGTAGTTTCTCATCATTATCATTTGAATTTTAATTCTCGTCTAGCTCTTCAATCTGAGGTACCTCTTTTTCACCTTGATTTTATGGGATATTTATTTTTAACTGGAATCTCTTTGGGTGCAAATGAGTTTCAGCTAAACAGCAATAACGGTTCTTAAGATGATGATTTATGATCTATTATTTAGGTATGAATTTTATGATCGTTTGGTGTTTTGCCAGTTGAAAAGTCAGCAGTACCCCGAGGCCAAGGGTACCGCTTCTGCATGCCTCAAGCTGCTTGGACAAACCGCTAGGCCGCTTACCCTCTACGGTTCTGTGTTGCTCGAAAAGGAGTCTGGGCTGAAAGAAGCTCAGCGTTATTTGGAGAAAGCCGTGTCAATGTCACCTCATCCGTTAAATGCCGTCTATTTGTTGGCGAATGCCTATGAGAAACAAGGTCTGTTCGAAAACGCGATTAATCTGCTTCAGAACCAGACAAACGTTGAATCGAGCTGTGCGCTTTATGAACAACTTGGTGACTTGTTCAGCAGGTGCGCCAATACTTCTGAAGCGATTGATAGGTGATCATTTTTTACCTTTTCTTCTGCATCACTTGTGTGTTATCTAAACGTTTGTCTGTTTCTCCAGAATAGTGCCTAAATGTCACATTGTATCTCTGCGCTATTGTATTTTCTAACGATATGCCTGTTTTTTTCAAAGCATCACCTAGATATCGCTCTCTAGTAGGTACTGAAGTCCTTCCTCTCCTCTACTTCTCCCCTCGATTTTTCCTGTAATTATGAAATATATGCTAATGGGAACATTTTAATAATGTATTAGGAAATATCTTTTCTCAAATATGTTAGACATCTTTGCACCACATTTCACACAAACAGATCTGTGGATAATTTGTAAGTTTGCTTTCTTTCTGATTTTGTCCCTACCACTGAAAGTTAATTGCGGTGTTCCAGTTGTCATTTCTTGCATTTCAGGTTGATCTCAAGAAATCTAAAGGTGTGTAAAACAGTATTCGCTTAGTGCGTTCTTGTCAGGAGCCCAAGTAGAGATACATATTTTCAAGAAATTTGCTCATCGCTCTAGAATGTCGGATAGTAATATTGTTTACGTCATTGAGTTTAATGATTTTGATCCGATTCATATCTGAAAGACCTACAGGACTAAAAATATATAGTAACGTAAGATAGTCATCCCGAATCACGGTCCAGAACTGAGTAGCGTAGTATTTCGTCCTTCGTCTTCATTCAGGATAGCTGGCGATTTGAGAGGTAGAATTTGCTGCTTTCATATTTCTAAAGGTATGGTGCTCATGTGAAACTCTGCCTTCGTTGAACAGCCCTGGCAAAGTTCTTTATTATATCCTTAGATTATTTTACATAGTTGTCCTTTAGTTTACGTATGACTTCTATTACGTCAGTCTTTTTTCTCCATCTTAGTGTCAAGTAGACTGCTTTGATTAGTGAACAGTTAATTTAAACTGCACCTTTCAATTTTTTGCAGTGTTTAATTCAGTTCTTACTTTATTTTTTTGTTGTATTCGTAAATTAATCTTTTCTCACCCCAATATGGTAAAAATACACAATACTGATGTCAAAGTAAGTTTTGATTTGTTGCCGGCACGTTTCACTAGTCATTGTTGCTTTGTGTCTGCAGCAGTCTTGTATTGTTGTGTTTCTGAAAATCATCACCATGAGCCGTTTCTGTAAGCAGAACGCCTCTGCTTTTTGTTGTCTGCAGTGTTTATAACTTTTCAGCACTTTTCCTATTAGGTTTCATTTACTGCATCGTAGAAGGAAACGTTGATTTCATAGGACATCTGTCTATTCGTTGTTTCTCCTTGCTGCGTGCTGGCCTCTTGGTCGACGTGTTTCGGCTCCTCAAAAGAAGTTCATAAGCTAGAGTAGATTATATATGTTCATTCGATTTGTCTAACAGCGCCAGCCTTCTTTAATCTTCAAATACCTGTTCCTGAAGGAGATTGGGGTCATTTCATATGCAGTCATGTCATTTAATTCTCATTATATATCAAAACCGTCGATGTTGCTGTACTCCGTTCAGCCGTCATTCTTGCTCATTCGTTATAACAGCTATCTCCGTGCTGTACAACAGGACCCACACTAGTGAGCTTCAGTTGGATTTTGATGCGAAGATTAATTTCTTTCTCAGTACAAATATCGGACAGATGTCCAAAAGTGCTCGACGCTGAGGCGATCCTCTTATTTTACTCTCGCTGGATACTACCATCGCTGGTGATGACTTATCCAAGATAATTAAATTTGTCCATCTCGTGAACTGCATCTCGTCTGTTCCATTAGTATATCAGCCGTGTCTGATTGGTTTCTCATGACTTTTGGCTTTGGGCGTTAAGGAAGAAACTGGCTTTCACACTGCCTGTGTTGCATACGGAAGACGTTAGGTGTCAGAGGCCGCTTCGCATGGTACTCGTCAGGAGAGTTGCATCTGCATACTTCATGCCAGCCGAATATTTAGCCAGATATAAAGAACAGTATAAGCACATGCTACTATTGTAAATGCGATAACTCCTTGCAAGTTTAAGTATAGATCATTTTGTATACACTTCAAATCATAATGCATGTTATCTTAGCTATATTGATCACGATTTTTGCAGTTATTAAATTATTTCAATTTAGCTATCAGTTTGCACTCACTCTTGAACCAAACAACAGTGCTGTAGCTTCGAAACTTAATGCGCTGATTGAAGTTCCTTCATCAAGTGCAGCTGCTGATTCCAATTTGGTTGCCGGTTCATCGACCAATGCTCAGTCTTTGCAGACGACTCCTGATTCTACATAATACGTTCAGAAGCTAAGCGAAACACCTCTCTGGCATATCTCGACTTCAGGCACTCAGATTTGCCTGAATGAATTCAACGGATCAATCTGGGGCCAACTTGTTCAAAAATTTGCTAATTAAATAACTTTTCTATTGACTAACAAACTGATCAGTTGTTATTTTCTCCGTTGAATCTGCCGTTCTTTCTGTCTACATTTGTCGGTCATGAACTTCAAAGTATTTTAATATTTTCGTTTTTTTATGGATTTGATGTTTTGTTTGTGCAAAGAATGCTTTACCATCGCCTAAGTACGAAAGAAGTAGACTGATTTTGGAGCGATAATAATTGAAGAATCGTTGCATATATTTACGCAGCAAGAATTCATTCTAATTCAGAACTGGGATATTGACCTATTCTGATTTCAAGATAGTCGAAAAGCGCCAACGATCGTAATGTTTCACGAACCAGACTCCGTCCCCAACTGATTTATAGATACTGGTGTCCTTTTTTGCACCTATATTCGTAGCTCAAGTAAGCTAGCTTTGGTATACCTGCTACAAAATGAAGTGCATTATGAAAAATTATGACTAATGTTCCGTATAAATTCGCTGAATATATACTCCGGCAGGAAATTTTCTAAGACGTACCTGTTAGCACTCGAAATTACTTTCATACCTGATGTCGCTCTGGCTCACTTGTTCAGAAACGTTTGCTCCGCCGCACATTTTTGGTGAAAACTTGTCTCAGATTTGCTCCTATTGTGCAAATTTTTACTCAGCAAAGTGTTTCACGCACACTATCTTGAGCGCAATTTGTTCTTCGCCGATGTACTTACCGCACATTTACTCCGGCATACCTGCTTCCCGCAAACTGGCATCAGCGTTCTCGAGTTCTTCGAAGCATTTACGAGGGTACTAATCAACAATCCTGATAACTACTAGACTTATTGCTTTATTCTTCTGGTGGTTGCGATTAGGCAGCAATGAACTGCTTGATTTTCATTTGGTTCAGACTTACTTGTTCTTCGAGGCAACGATGAACTTCGTTGCTGAGCGACGGTGTCAACCAATAACTTTCGAAAAGCTTTAATGCATTCTTCTAAAGTATTATTCGCCATTGGCAAGTTCTAATGGATAATTTGACAGCAATTGGAAACTGCTATAGCGAAGCGTGATTTCCTTCGTGCCTGACGTCGATTGCTACGGATTTGCACAGCTGTCTGTAAATGGATGTAATTTAGTCGAATAAGCGTTCATTTCAGAAACGAATTGTAACGCTCAGTGTAGGTTCCGCTCTGGTACGATGGATAGTGCAACGATCTTTCCGCATTTGGAGGAGAACGTATTTTTCATAGATCCTGTAAATCCGAAAGCAGCGCAAGTATAGATCCACTTTAAAAACGGTTTTTCCGAATGTTCGAAATCGGTCAGTTTCGACTGAATTGTCTAATATGGCTACATATATTTACGGGATTCAAGTATTCAGATATTCCTCACCTCCGTTTTGTCTGTCAGTAAAGTGAATATAACGTATGAATAACGTTAAAATACCATGATCGATCGCTTTTTTGTTGTTTTGGACACAAAGGAGAGATTTGATTGTGAACGTATGGTGAAATACTGAAGGAATGCTCCATATTGTGGTTAAAACTAATAATTTGCTTCCAAACTTAAGTTACCACCAATTTCCTTGACTAACTCATATATTTTGAAGGAAAACTATAGGGTAATAGTCAGGAGCTGCCAAGGCGAT